CTCAGTCCTAGTACTTTTTGCTTTGAGTTTCTTGTTCTCTCATAATCAAATCTGTTTGGAGTAAGATGTCAAATTACAGGCAAATCATTTTATCTCAAGTGAAACCTTTGAAGAATTAAAGCTACCATCAGCTGTGTTTGTTAGCTATGTAAGGAAAGAAGAAAAACGGGTAACACACAAGGAAGAAAATTCCATATAGTTGGAGATGAAATTTTAACTATGAACACAACACAAAACTCAGTAACTAAGACATTTCATTGTTCAACAACAGACCTCCAATTTTTCCTTTTATTCCTTTTTGTTTTTTAAATACCAGTACTAGGGCTTGAAAGTAGAATTGGGTATTGTGCCTTAGTGTTTTTTTGCTTAAGGCTGGTGTTATCCCACTTAAGCCACACCTCCACTTCTAGCTTTTTTTTCTGGTTAATTGAAGAGTCTCATGGGCTCTTCTGTCCAGGTTGGCTTCAAACCAGAACCTCAGATTTCAGCCTCTTGAGTAGTTAGAATTATAGACATGAGCTGGACATCGGTGGCTTACGCCTATAATCCTAGCTACTCAGGAGGCTGAGATCTGAGGATCGCAGCTCAAAGCCAGCTTAGGCAGGAAAGACTGTGAGACTATCTCCAATAAACCACTCAGAAATCTGGAAGTAGTGCAGTGGCTCAAGTCTTGAGCTGAAGAGCTGAGGGACAGTGTTCAGCCCAGACTTCAAGTCCCATGACCAACAAAAAAAAGAAAAGAAAAATAGACATAAGCCATCAGTGCTCAGCTAGGCCTCAAATTTCTTAGGAGTACAATTACCTATAATATAAAGAGAGATCAATAATGTCTAGGGCAACTCATTGTCATTCATTGTTTATTCTGACTAGGCATTGTGATACTAATAACTCATTCACAACATCCCAAAAAGTAGGTGGAAAGATAGTCATTTAACCCCTGAGGAAATATGCTGAAATTTAGGCATTTCCCCAAGATCACACTATGAGTGTGTTAATGTGACAAACTATATGAAGTAATTAACTTAAAGTGATGAAAGGTTTATTTTGGCTTGTAATTTCTGATGTTTCAGTCCTATTGTTTGGGGCCAGTGGTAAAACAGAATGTCAAAGTGGCAGAACATGAAGAAGAGCTGTTTCCCTTGTGGTAGCACAAAAAAAGGGAAAGAGAACAGGGTGAAGTCCTGACATTCTTTTCAAGGACTCAATCCTTGGTAACTAACTTCCTCCTATTAGGTTCAGCTTTCTAAAAGTTCTGTCACCTCCCAGGAGTGCTACCTGGGGATGAAGCAATCAGCACACAGCCCTTTCTGGAAAAAAAAAAATCCAATGTGTAGCAGCTAGTGTACCAGACCAAGTACTTTGGGATCACAGTGTGTGTCAAAAGGAGTATTTGTTTGTTTGTTTCTCTATTTTTGTACAGGTTCTGGGGCTTTAACTCGAGGCCTGGACATAGTCCCTGAGCTTTTTGCTCAAGACTAGCACTCTATCACTTGAGCCATGACTTCACTTCCAACTTTTTGATGGTTAATCAGAGTCTCACAGACTTTCCTGTGAAGGCTGGCTTCAAACTGTGATCTTCGCCTCCTGAATAGTTAGGTACCTGGCAAAAGAAGGTTTTATTAAGAGTCAGGGTTGAACAGTGATAAAGCCTTTGGGAAAATCCTGAATAATTTAGGTCTTCTCTGTCGCCAGTTTTCTTGCTAAACCACGTGTTTTAGACATGAACAGATGATTAGAGGCAGCACCAGAAAAACAAAACCAAGGCAAATTGTTTCCAACTGTAACTAAAACTCAAGTACTAAGTGAAACTTCAGAGGTTGTGCCCATTAATTTTTGGAGTGAGGAGTAAATCAAGCTTTCATGTCCTCACTTGGCTTTTTCACCCAAGGTTGGTGCTCTATCTTGAATAACACCTCTACTTTCAGCTTTTTGCTCATTAAATGGAAACAATGTAATTTTCTGCCTGAAAAAGCTTTGAATTGTGATCCTCTGATCTCAGCCTTCTGAGTAGCTACAATTATAGGCATGAGCCCCCGTACTTGGTGCAGCCTCTAGCTATAGGCTGAGGAATAGAACATAGATCTTTATTTCTTTTGTATATAGGAAAAAAGGTAGATGTGAATGTAGGAAGTGCCATTTAAAAGAATAATAGTTTTGCTTGAATACTCACTATTAAAGGATAGGCTTGGTGAAATGAAGTACAGATACCTTGTAAGCCCTGTCAGTTACTCACACAGTAGAATCATGAAACAGAAGCCTTGAGAAAAGGCTGATAGGCTTGGCACTGGTGGCTCACACCTGTAATCCTAGCTACTCAGGAGGCTGAGATCTAAGGAGCAGTTCAAAGCCAGCCCAGGCAGTCTCTGATAGTCTTATCTCCCATTAACCACTAGAAAACCAGAAGTAGTGGTGCTGTGCCTCAGAGTGGTAGAGTGCTAGACTTGGGCAAAAGAACTCAGGGTCAGCACCCAAGCCTTGAGTTCAAACTCCACAACTGAAAAGAAAAAAGTGAAGAAAAGAAAAGAAAGGAAAGAAAAAAGGCCAGTAATATCAATATGTACTAAGTCAGGAGTTTAACTGGGGCCAGTCCTTGGACTGCACAAATTGTGATGGGTCTGTTTGGATCTCTCAAAATAGTCTTTTCTAGTTGGGATTTCCCACTTTTTCAAAATCAGGGATGATTTTTCTTTGCTGGTGAGTCAAGCTTTTTTATTATTATTAATTTTATTGTGAAAATGTTGTACAGAGGGGTTACAGTTACATGAGTAGGGTAATGAGTACATTTCATAGCAAGCATTGTTACCTCCTTCTTTATTTTCCCCCTACCATCAATCACTTCCCTTCCCACCTCCTCAACTCCTCCTGCCCCTCCCCCACCCCGACATTGTAAAGTTTGTTTTCAATATAGTGTACTGTACATCTCGTTGTCACAATGGGTCAGCCTACATCTTCATTTAAGCGTTCTGCAATATCCCTTCCCCTCCCCAAATTACAAAAATATATATACACGGTGCAGAGCACCAGCATCAAATCCAGTGAAAACATGGGGGAAGAATATACAATAGAAACAAAAGAATCACATAGTGTATTGTATGCACATTGAAAAACACTAGCAAGAAAGAGAAAAAGAAAAAAAACCTCTTGTGTTCCTGTCTTGGGTACATTTTGCTTAACATTATCTCATGTGGTCTTACGTACATAGCCTTTGACCTACTCCGCTTGTCCTAGACAGAATCAATCTTAAAACAAGCAGTCACTATCCATGTTAGTCCCAGGATTGACAGCCAGAGGGCAGCATCAGGCTAGTCAGTGTTGGCAAAGATCCCACCTCCACCTTTCTGCTGTTCTTCAGAAGCAACTCTGAGCATGTCTTTGTTATCCTATGTGTCTTTCTTCTTTTATTGTCAAAATATCAGATTACTAAAATTTCTAAAATTTCTATTTTACTCCATTAGAAGAATAGTCATGTGAGAGGATATACTAATACTAGCCTGGTAGTGTATCTTTTTTTTTTTTTTCTCCTCTTCCCTTAATTCTAAGTGTATTAAAATCAGTGCATAGCCAGGTGTCAGTGGCTCATGCCCTGTAATCCTAGCTACTCAGCAGGCAGAGATCTGAGGATTGCAGTTTAAAGCCAGCCTTGGCAAGAAAGTCTGTGAGACTCTCATCTCCAATAAACCACTCAGAAGAACGGAAGTGGTGCAGTGGCTCAAGTAGTAGAGAAGCTGAGGGACAGCGCCCAGGCCCAGAGTTCAAGCCCCACCACTGACAAAAAAAAAAAGAAAAAAAAAGGAAAAAAAAATCAATGCATAAACTTTCTTTGACCTGAGTCCTGAGTCTATCTAAACTGTTGGGAATTAAAGTTTTCAGGAGACTTAACATCAGTGGCTCACACCTGTTAACCTAGCTGCTCAGGAGATTGTGGTCTGTTGATCGCTGTTCAAAGTTAACCCTGAGCAGACAAATCCTACAGACTCTTTTTTTTTTGTCCAGTCGTGGGGCCTGAACTCTGGGCCTGGGCACTGTCCCTCAGTTCTTCAGCTCAAGGCTAGTGCTCTACCACTTGAGCCACAGTGCCACTTCCGGCTTTTTTCTTTTTGCTTATGTGGTGCTGAGGAATCAAACCTAGGGCCTTAGGCATGCAAGGCAAGTGCTCTACCACTGAGCCACTTTCCTAGCCCCCTACAGACTCTTATCTCCAATTAACCAGCAAAAAGTCAGAAGTGCAGGTATAGTTCAAGTAGTAGAGCTCCAGCCTTGAGCAAAAAGCTAAGCAATAACACAAGGCTATGAGTTTTGAGCTCGAGTACTGGTATACATGTTGTGTGTGCGCATACACACTCCCCTTCCCCCCACATATATAAATAAAGTAAAATAAAATGTTTTCAGGGAATCAAACACTCCCTAAAGATTACACCAGTTAATTACCTTATGGGACTGACAATTGTACACAAAGCTGGACAATAAACCACTCGTTCAGTTCTGCCTTAGCTTAGCAAACTGACTATACCAACTGCTTTTCAGAAAAGAGAAAGATTCATGTTTTCAGAAATCCATGTTGGGGCCAGGCACCATTGGCTCACACCTGTAATCCTAGCTACTTAGGAGGCTGAGATTTGTGGATCATGGTTCAAAGCCGTCCCAGACAGGAAAGTCTGTGAGACTTTTATCTCCAATTAACCACTAGAAAACCAGAAGTGGTGCTGTGGTTCAAAGTGGTAGAATGCTGGTCTTGAGCAAAAAAGCTCAGGGACAGCACCCAGGTTCTGAGGTCAACATCCACAACTGACCAAAAAAAAAAAAGAAGAAGAAATCCATGTTGGCAAACTGCTACTGTTGGAAGAAACAATGGTGGGAAAAGCTGGGAGCAGTGAAGACTAGGTAGATGGTAAATATAAGGAAGCGGAAAGATGACTGCAGAATGGAAGAACTGTCAGCCCATCATTCCCAGCTCCTCTCTTAGTTCTTACAGTTTTTTCTTCTCTTTGCTTTTTCTCTAGGTAGTGATGACTTTGCAGCAGACCCAGTCTTTGTTTCTTCTCTTGCTGCTGACCCTGCTAGGGCTAGGGCTAGTACAGCCCTCCTATGGCCAGGATCGCATGTACCAGCGATTCCTGCGACAACATGTGGACCCTCAGGAGACAGGTGGCAATGATAGCTACTGCAACCTGATGATGCAGAGACGGAAGATGACCTCCTATCAGTGCAAGCGCTTCAACACCTTCATCCATGAAGACATCTGGAACATTCGTAGTATCTGCAGCACCACCAATATCCAGTGCAAGAATGGCAACATGAACTGTCATGAGGGTGTAGTGAAGGTCACAGACTGCAGGGAGACAGGAAGTTCCAGGGCACCCAACTGCAGATACCGAGCCATGGCGAGCACTAGGCGAGTTGTCATTGCCTGTGAGGGTAACCCACAGGTGCCAGTGCACTTTGATCGATAGAGGCATTTTGAAGGGATTACTGCCAGTGGTTGGCCTCTGAATAAGTCTGACATAGTAATGAGTAATGCATCTAAAATGTCTCAGGCTTTGTCTCCTCTGCTCATTTCTTATATCTTTCTCCATGTAACCCATTCTATTAAATACATTACACCCAATAGATGGAGACATAAACCAATATTGAGTCTGAGTTTTTCTACAATAAGCTGCCTTCTAATACTGGTCAGCTTAGCACTCTCAGATCCTGTCCTCTGGAATGTACTCACTCTATGGATTTATATAGTATTTGAGCCATTTCCAAGTACCTTTATCCAAGTTTTTTTCATTTTAATACCCCAGCACTTTGATGAGGTTGTTATATATAAATGAGATTTGCTGAAGGCCATAGTGACAGACCTGAGCCAAAACCCAGTTGTGTTGGTTACCCCTAAAGAGCTTTCTCTACTCACCATCAGTTCTTTGGTAGTGTCTAGTTTTTTGTTATGCCAAAATGCCAGCCACTGAAGGAAACCATTTGGAAATAAGAATGGCAAACTTCGAGCTCTAACATTATTGTTATGTTTGTGTCTGATAAGATGATGTGTCTTCCCAAACTTTTAAATCATCCTAGAAGGTCAAGAGCATGAAAATGTACTAGATCTTAAGGATTCATTTACTTTTCCTGACTAAAAGATTTTTCATGTTTTACCTTACAATAAAGGACATATCAGCAGAAATCTAAAAAGGCTGTCTTTGTAACCAGAACTTTGGGGATGCTTTTGCTAAAAAGTACTGGCTCTTCAATTAGGTCTGAAAATGCCTGAGGAATAGCTAAAAGCAGGATGAACATGATTTTGATCAACAGCTGTTTGTTTAAACACAGTTATAAACTATCAAAAGATTGACATAGAAATACAATTTAAATAAACCTTGAGTTGGTTAAATCTCAGTAGTCAAAAGTCTAGCAAAACTACAAGCAATCATCGTGTGTGTGTGTGTGTGTGTGTGTGTGTGTGTGTGTGTGTATGTGTGTGTGCATGTGCACCCATCCTAGGGCTTGAACCCAAGGTCTGGACACTGTCCCAGAGATATTTTGCTCAAAGCTGTTACTCTACCACTTGAGCCAAGCTCCTCTCTACTTCTAGCTTTTTGGTGGTTAATTGGAGATAAAGGTTTCATGGACTTTCCTACCTCAGCCTCAGGTAGCTAAGATTACAGATGTGAGCCACCAGCCCCTGGCTAAAACAACTACCATCATAAAACACAAAATGTCCTTTAAAGTTAGGTGTCTTTTTTTTTTTTTTTTTTTGCTATATGCTACTAAGAATAGAACAACATTTTTAGGACAGAAGTATTGCTTTCGAGTAGACAGAGAATTAAGACCTACTTTTATCTGAATGTAGTAAATTTTGTCCTTAGAAGAGCCCTTGCCTAGCAAGTGCAAGGCCCTGAGTCCAGTTCTTTACACCAAAAAAGAAGAGTAGTCAGAGAATTATGGCCTAGTTTTATATCAATGTATTAAGTTTTGGACCTTAGTGAATTAAATTATATATATAAGCCTAATAAACTCCATCTTTCTTATACTTAAGATTTATTTGGACATTTTTGGAAATTTTAGCCTTTAGTATATATATATATATATATATATATGTTTGTGTATATATGTATGAACAGTCATATGTACATATGTATACATCTGTATGTAATGTATGTACTTGTGTGTGTGTGTATGTATGTGTGTGTATGTGTGTGTGGCCATATTTCAACAGAAACCTAGAAGACAGTAATCTCATATTGGCTCTCGGCACAACAATTTATAAACATGCATTAGTTAATAGGATCAAATATATTGTAAAAGAGAGTTGAATCCAAGTTACAATTGCAACAGAATGAAATAGATTGAGATAATCAGTCCATATCTAATCAAGTCATTTTAGAAAGCTTTGTTTTAAAATTATCTTTTTACTTTAGTTTGAAGTGTTAGAAAGTTGACTTTTGAATGCTTTCATAACTCTTCATTGCTATGATAAACATAATCTTTTGATCTTCCTTCTTTTTCCATTCGGTAAGATGTGATCAGTTGTATGACTTTAATAGGTGGCTCATTGACTCATTCAAAGGATTTACAGGAAACTCCATTGTACAGTACTGACAGATCCTAGTTTACAGACAGCCCACAGTTAAAAGATGATGTTACCAGAAATTCATTGCAGCTAATAATCTATATCCTTTAGTGCATTATGAGATGAATTCAAGAAAGACTCAAAGGTAGTGAAAGTGACAAGAAAGTTTACTGGGAAAGAAATAGGACAGAGAAAAGGGACTATATGGCATAGGCATGCCATAGGAACATGGTACTTCAGATTATCTCCAGCCATCTTTAGGATGCAGATGTAAGCATTAGGTTAAACAGAGGAAGAATTAGGAGTAGGAGACAAACGTATGTGTAGTCAAGCATCCCAGTTACAGACAGGGTGGCCTTGTTATACAGGAATTCAATCATGAGAAACTGAGAAGCCACACCTTGAGAGATCAAATTGGGAGTCCTTATTAGAAAGCTGATAACTGCAGGTGGACATCAGTCCCAAAGACCTGCAGCCCAGAAAGTATCTTGCACAAAGCTTTTGCTTTTAAAAGCATGGGGCTGGGAAGGTGGCTCAGTGGTAAAGTGCTTGCCTTGCATGCCTGAGGCCCTAGGTTTGATTCCTCAACACCACATAAGCAAAAAGAAAAAAGCTGGAAGTGGCGCTGTGGCTCAAGTGGTAGAGCGCTAGCCTTGAGCTGAAGAGCTGAGGGACAGTGCCCAGGCCCAGAGTTCAGGTCCCATGACCGGACTCCTCTCCCCCCCCCAAAAAAGAAAAAAAGCCCAACCAAAGCAGACCATATACAGGAATACTCAGGGCTTAGCAAAGCAAACCATATAGGGGAACAATCAGAGCTGAGCAAATCAAACCATCCAGGGAAATACTCAGGAGTGAGCAACTCAAACCTGGAATAATCAAGGGTGAGCATTCTCTGAATCAAAGCTTTCCAAGGAATAAACAGCATGATGCCTTTGCAATTCAAAGAATGGCCTATCTCACCCTTAGGCTTTTTGGAGCTGGGTGAAAAGCCCCCACTACCCAGCAAGACACCAGGATGGCGGTGAGAACAAGACATTGTTACTTAGACCCAGTATCCTATTTCAGCCTGTCTGGTCATTCTCAGTTCTGCTTCCTCTGGGCTCCAGAGAAGTTGTTACTGTTATCATCACTTGAGGGGAGTGATCTGGTTCCCCTGAGATGAATTTTCTGGCTCTAGGGTGCAGCCTGATCACTAATGATAATTATCCTCATTTGAGGTGATGTGTCCTGTAAGGCTCTGCTGGTCCTTGGGGTAGTTTTAGTGTTTTGTCATAAAGATGTTATTGATAAGCCCCACCTTTCCTGGAATCCCAGAGATTTATCTTGCTTCTGGAAGCAAAATCAGTTTAAGTACTTGTTATAAATACATGTTCAATAGATTGAAAATGGGTTATCTATCTATGGTAAGAGCAACAGCATAAGCATCTTGGGTTTGAGTACTTATTGAAATAGCCTGTGAGAAGTTCCTGGCCCTTGGTCCATCTATAGAACAGACATCACTGGTAAGTCAGAAATTATTTATTTTTTGAGACCTGTGATTGCAACCTCCATTTTAAATTCTCTTTGCATTTCCCTATCGCTCATGGTTAGCTGCTATAATATTATACAGATTGTGCTATTTTAGACATTGAGAACAATTCCTCATTGGTAGTGGTTCTTGGACTTCTGCCCAGCAGGTGGTGCTACTTGCCCTTATTGAGTGCCCTCTAGCTAAAGGCAAAACTGCTAATGTTATATAGGAGGATTAAAACAAAAATGGAGGGAGACAGGCACTGGCTCCCAGTTCAAAACCATTCCTGATAACCGTAAGAGTTCATGAGATACCTGTCTCCAATTAACCACCAGAAAATTGGAAGTGGTGCTGTGGCTCAAATTGGTAGAGTGCTAGCCTTTAGTTAAAAAGCTCAGAGCCAGGCGCTAGTGGCTCACGCCTGTAATCCTAGCTACTCAGGAGGCTGAGATCTGAGGATTGTGGTTCAAAGCCAGCCCGGGCAGGAAAGATCGTGAGACTCCTATCTCCAATAAACCACTAGAAAACTGGAAGTGGCGCTGTAGCTCAAGTGGTAGAGCACTCGCCTTGAGCTGAAGAGCTGAGGGACAGTGCCCAGGCTCAGAGTTCAAGCCCCATGACCAACCAAAAAAAAAAAGCTCAGAGACCCTGGTCCCAAGTTCAAGTTTCACGACCCATAAAAACAAAAAGAAAAAGGAAGGAGCCCACCTGAAAAGATGCTTTCATTTCCTACTTATTACCTCTAATAGTTCATTTCAGAAATTTCCTCTGAGTCCAGCATTCCAGATAAGCCAGGGAAGTGGCCTAGTAAATGACTATTTCCACGGATGAACTAATGCCAGCTCTTGCAGTGAGATACAGAGTACACTCTTTCTGACAATAGATTTTGGGTTATTAGAAGAAGCAAACAGAACATCTTACACAGAAACGAGTCTATTTTATTCTTTCCTTGAGAATTAAGGAGCTAGCAGCTGGGAAGAGAAAATCCTAAGTAGGCTTCCTGAACTAAGGAAATCACTGGCGTTTATTTGTTTATTCATTCATCATTTATTTATCTATGTCAGTATTGGAGCTTGAATTTAGGGCATTACACTTTTACACTCTTGCTTGACTTTTTTTTTTTTTTTTAATCAGTCATGGGGCTTGAACTCAGGGCATTACACTTTTACACTCTTGCTTGACTTTTTTTTTTTTTTTTTTTTTAATCAGTCATGGGGCTTGAACTCAGGGCCTGTGCACTGTCCCTGAGCTTTTTCACTCAAGGCTACTGCTCCACTACTTTTAGCCATAGCACTACTTCTGGTTTTCTGGTGGTTAATTGGAGGTTAGAGTTTCACTGAGTTTCTTGCTTGGTCTGGCTTAGAACTGCAATCCTCAGATCTCAACCTCCAGAGTAGCTGGGATTACAGGCCTGAGCCAGGACACCTGGCTTCGTTTGGTTTCTTTGTGCAAGGTTAGCACTCTACCATTTGAACCATTGTTTCACTTCTTGCTTCTCAGTGATTAATTGGAGATAAGAGCCTCACAGACTTTATAGCCTAGGCATGAGTCACTGGTAATGCTGGCATGACTAGACTTTTATCAGCTTGCTGGTTTTATCAGTGGACTAGGATCTGATGATTTTTTCACTGGCTGAGAGTACGTATTTTTTAAAGAAGTTTCTTCCCTCTGCAAGATTTAGATCAATGACGTTTGTCCTTAGAGACATTGAGGCGCCACTGTGGGTTTTCAAAATGTATTTGATCTTGATGATAAGAGTAGGAGGGTAGGAAAAGACATTCTGCACACTGCTGACAGAGTGGGGGGGTGGGGCGGTAATGAAGCCGGTGACTTAAGGTAATTAAAGTTCAAGAGCTGTGCTTCATCTTAGTGGTAGTGGCTGACAAGCTCAATGAACTTTATTTTAAAGCTGTATTTCTTTTCTTTGACCTGATTTTTCTTTGACCCAATAGCTTTCCTTCGTAGCT